GCCACAGATCATGGGTTATCAGCGTGCTTAGTGGGCAAAAGAACAAGCCACCCTGAGGAAAGCGGTCTGAGTTTGGACAAGATGGCTACCCTGTGCTTTACTGCTGGTTGGCTGTCATGTCGGTTTACTGGTCATGGTTGGCTGCCTTGTCATGTGAACTAGCTGATTTAGAAACGTCCATGTAGCTAGAAGTCTCACTATGCACTGTGGAACTGGTAGTAGCCATAAGCAAAGCATTTGGCCCCAACTGTTGCTAAGCTCCAGTACTAAGATTCTGCAGGGGAAAAAATCTATGCACGCTTCCATTCTTTTGCTTGTTTGGCCAGTTTTGTATAGGCTGAATCATAAAACGAGATCATCACTGAAGAGGGACATTTCTGAGTTAGTCTGAAAAGCTTTTCATTGCCTCCATGGTGCAGTCCAGCAATCAGGCCTGGCAGCCGTGTGCATCAGAGGGAAACAATTTGTTGCCAGGATACTTTTCCCTGCTGGAAGCTTTCCTCTCCCTGGTGTTTTAGAGCAACTTCTTTTGTCACCACTTGGTCTCTGTTTCTGGAATGGAATTTTCTTTCTATGGTTTCTCTTTATCTTCTGCCACAGAAGAGATAATGTGGCCTGTATGGTTCATTAATCTTTTCTCCTTCATGGCTGAGTCATTCTTCAGAGCATGGGGAGGGAGCCTCTCCAAAATGCAGTTCATTCAAGAAAACCAGAGATTTCGGGTGAATCGCCACTGAATTAGTTCCACCCAGCATTCTTGGGCACCTAGTAGTCTTCTGATTAGAGTGGGCAGTGCATATTGATATAATCTGTGTAGGTATAAAGAGATATAGAAAGGTGGGGGTTTTTTACAAGCACCAAAGGTGATTTTATAATGGCATGACTGAAAAACCTAAACACGCAATTTTAGAAAGGTTGTGGAATCAATTTCTTTTTTACTTTGCAATGCAATCAAAAGTGGATTGTATTGCAAAGTAACTTATGGATGTTTCTCAGAAAAGTACATTCTCAATTTATCAAAGCTGACAGAAAGATGTGGATTGGATCACAAAGTCAGTGGTGATATCCTCTGGACTTCTGAACTTAATTCAAAAGACACGCTTGGCATTTCCACCTAGTCACTCTCCTGTCTCTTCGAGCCCCCAGGAGATCATGTTCATGCTATCTTCTAATGGAAGCCTGGAGGAGTTATATGCACAAGATTCACACTTTTATGTTATGGAACCTTGCTGTACAGTATGAAAATCCATATCTTGGTCTTCTCTGGGATTCACACACACGTGGTACACTGAAGTCTTGGAGGAGTTGTCTCCTAACCCTAACCCTTAATTACCCTCAAGAGGCTATGACATGTCCAGCCACCATTATGAATATGCAACCTCCAACCAGGGATGGTCTCAGCATGTGAACCTGGCAGGTGGCTCCACCAAGGAGGCCTCTCCTGCTATTTTATTAGCTAGACAGGCATGTAACAAGACAGGCTGAGACATAACCAGGTCCTAAGCTGTTTAGGCTTTAGAATTTAAAGCAAACACCTTGAAGTGAACCTGGAAAGCTATTGGCAAACAGTGCCTGTCTTTCAAGACAGGTGTGATATGACCTGATGCCATGTACCCTTTAGCATCTTAGCTGTTGTGTTTTGCAACAATTTTAGAACAACGGCATGTCCCAGAAGGGGTTTCCACCTGGGCAACCTTGCTAAGGAACAGAGCACAACTGGCAAAGTGCTGCTGTTGCAGGATGGATAATAATCAAATGATGACTTGAAGGCACATTTTGATAGCGGTATTCAAAGAACATCTGGGATAGCTACTCTTGGAAGGGCCTCAACTATGTTTTGGCCAAAGCTTGACCTTCATGAAGCCACAATCCTATGGAAGTTTAGACAGAAAAGGGCCTATGGGTCGCAGGATACCCCAAGCATCCTGGGAACTGTAGCCTCTTTTTGTTTTCTAAACTAGCACATGATTAAATGTAATAGTTTGACATGCCTCAGTCTAAGAAGGACTAATATATATTGCAAAAGTGATGTGTTTTATCAATCCCAGCTTGTTTACCTTAGCTATTATAAAATCTGAGGTGGGGTGAATGTTATCGGTTTATAAAGGATTTATGCTTGAGTGATACTAGTGAGGAATGCAAAACTCTATTTCAAAGGTCAGGCAAAAACGTTTGCATGTTGCCCAGTTAAGGAGGCAAATTTGGTGTGTGAGATGGCATTTTGCTGGCCCTACACCTATGCCTTTAAAAACACCCCTGACACCTAGAAATGAAGCAAAATGAAAATGTTCTTGGTTTGGAGATAAATGCATTAGAACAGGATACTTTTTCTGTAGTTCTTTTTCTTCAATGTGTTTTGTAATCAATTGTGATACTATGCTTTGCCTGTGAGTCACTTTTAATTTAGTCCATTGCAAAAAAGTTCCATACAAATAAACACAACTGAATTGTTGTGAACTGCCCAGAGCTTCAGCCATTGGGTGGTATTAAGAGTGGGGGGGGGGAATGAATAAATATGGCAGAATACCCATATCCACAGGGGATAGGTTCCAAGCTCCCCAGTGGATGCCTGAAACTGCAGGGATTAAGGGCATAGGACCCCTGCAGAAGTGGAAAAACTGCAAAAGTTTTTCGCAGCCAGAGTGGAGTTGTCAATTTATCTATTTTATCTTGACCTATGTTGTAAGCCATCCAGAGACGCAAGTAATTGACAGCATACAAATTTGATAGATAGATAGATAGTCTCTAGAGTGTTCATGCCCACTAAGAGACAAAATACATAAGTGAGCTGGCTAGTACTGAGACAGAGAGCATGGCATCCACAAACAGAGTACATCATTCCCTAGAGATATTTGTGGTGTTTTTTCCCCAGAGTTATTTGCAGCTTTTCCACTTTTGTGGAGGTCTTGCACCCCCAACCCCTGCAGGCATAAGCAGCATGGAAACAGCATGGTCCCTTGTGGGTAGGTGGGAATTAAGTGGTGGCAGAGGGCCATGGAGGCTGCACATCCCTTGTATCAGTAATAAATTAAAAGGTAAAAATAAAAGAGCCAGTGTGGTGTAGTGGTTAAGAGAATGGGACTGGGACTCAGAGGATCTGGGTTCTAGTTCCCGCTCAGCCATGGAGCCAACTGGGTGACTTTGGGGCAGTCACAGACTCTCAGCCCAACCTACCTCACAGGGTTGTTGTTGTGGGGATAAGATGGAGGAGGAGAATGATGTAGGAAAAAGGCAGGAGATAAATCAAAAAATAAATAAATAAATATTTTTCTCCTCACCTCTCCCAGAAGACGTGGGAGCAGCGTACCCAGAAGGTGGTCTCTAGGTTAAGCTGAGAGACACATAATCACTGGCTCCTTAAGTTGCACATAATCACTGGCTCCTGGTATATCATGAAAGGGTTGGGTGCACACAGCCTGTCCTGCTCACTTGCTCTTAATTCCTCTCAATAGCCTGAGCAGGTAAACAACCCGAAATGGGTTTGCCTTGTGTGTAGTTTGAACTCAGGGTTCTGATTTATTGCTTTCAAATAAGCCAATAAACTGAAACCTATCTTTGCCTTGTTCCTTCCTTGTTCGAGAGAAACAACAAACTGCACACAGAGGCAGACATGTCTGGTTTGCTCATCCACTTATGCTAGCAGAAGTGAATGATCTGGGCACATCACCACCCAGCTTCTTCATGGTAACCAAGATTGCATCAAGAGTTCTGGTTGTTATGTGCAAATGAAGCCACTGTGTATTATTTAAACAACAACCCTTAAAAAGTATGCGTGAAGCATAATGTTACCTTTTCAAGTCCACAAGTGCATCTGTTTGATTTTCTACTAGGAATTTCTTCTGCAAAATTAATTTGCTCTTTTCAATCTGCACTCAAATTGCTACAGAAGGATAAGAGTTTTGTTTTTGTTTGTTGTTCATTGACATATTTAGGACTTTTTGATCTGGTTTCAAGGATTTGGAAATATTGTTATCCTCTGTACCAACAGTTATGCATAGAAACAAAACTAAAAACTTTTATTGTTTTGAAAATTGTGGATGAACAGATTTTATATACATACATTATCTCAGGAATAAAGGGAACCTGAAGTACCAGTGCAGAGGCAGCGGTGTAACAATCTGGACTGATCTCATAGTCTGTGGGTGCCCTCTCCTGGCAGATTTTAGGAATGTTGTACTCTCCAGTGATGCAACTCTGTTAAATTGTCCTGTAACTTTCACAACGTAAGTTGGTGCCCTTTTTGAGAAACAGAGGGCCATTACAGGACAGAAAAAGAAAATGAAACACTGAAAGATGAAGTGCTCTAAATATAAGATCATGTCTTTTTATCTAGGGTTAATTAATTGAGGATAACTGTGTCCCCCAACCTTGGCTAGTTTGGGGGGCAAAAACCTGTGATGTCTTTCAGATTGATGCTACTTTCTACAGCAGCCTTCTCTTTTTAAACAGCTTAAAAGGAAGGCATCAGATGCATGTTTACAGGTTCTCATTTTAAAAACCATTTTGAATTAAAAATCAAATATCCCTTTCCTACAGCACAATATAACTTCTTCACTAATAAATCTTCTTAGTACTGATGCAACAGAACCCAACTTCGTTATCTTGGGCTAGTCAAGAACGGCGCCGCTACGGCTTAAGGAAGCTTATGCTGTGAAGGTGAAATGCTAGCTTCGGGCTTTACAACTCCAGTCATAAACTAGGTAAATAAGGGCCATGCACGTTTAGCCTGAAAAAGGACTACAACTCCCAGTATTCCCCAACCACCCGTTCGGAGCATGCTGGGAGCTGTAGGCTTTTCTGTGAGGCTAAACTTACAAGGGATTGCTCTTTCGAGGGGCACCCTTCAGCCCGGATCTAAAATGACCCACTCGCGCCCTGACCGACACCCCAGTCATAAGCAGGGATACCCCCTTTCTCTCGCCGGCCTAGCGAGGAGCGCCCCCCGCCCCCCGTGAGCGGCCTCTCCGAGGGAGGCCGAAGGGGCGGGCCCGGAGCTCCTCCGCCTCCTCCCCGTCAGAGGTCCGCCAAGATGGCGGCCGGCGAAAGCGACGACGGGGAGGAAGAGCTGGCGAGTTTTGGCACCCCTCTGGAGCCGCTGGAGGAGGGTGAGTCCCGGGCAGGATTCCCTCCCTTGGGCACGGCGGAGGCCCGCGAAGGGACGGGCACCGTGGGCCGCGCGCCTGCGCTCGCAGTCCGAGCCCTGCGTGTTCGCTCGCGAGGGAGCCCCGCAAGTTTTCTCCTTCCTGCCCGGGTTCATCCAGGCCCGCAGAATAAGAGCAGCCCCAACGACAAATGCGCGCATTTGCACCTCCCAGTGCGCCTATGCCCGAAAGTGCATTGAAGAGCCGGTCTTCTAAGAACACCCCAATTTGTAAAACTGGTTGTGTGGACAGGAGGGCACTTGATTGCAGGAAAAAACTCGGGCAGAGCGATTCCGGGGCTGGGGGCTCAGGAACGAAACACCTGTGGGCAGAAAGCCAGTGGATCCCGAGGGAGCAGATGCAAGAGAAATCTTCCTGGTACCTGAGCCGTTTTTTCCGCAGGCCCCCACATGGATAGCAAGGTGGTGGGGTGGAGGGGTCCCCAGAGATTCGGGGCTCCAGCCCTGATGGCTGCCCGTTTACCTAAGTGGGGAGCGTGGATGTTGAGGGGGACAGGTGTAGGAAGTAATAAATAGGGGACTGCATCTAAATAGGGTGCCACTGTTATGGAAGGATCCCTAAATGAAAGGGTTTCGGTAGTTTTGAGCTTCTGGGTCTGATTGGTATGCAACAGTCTTTCCCGCCCTGGTGCCTTCAACATCCAGCCTTCCCCAGCCATGCTGAGAGTTACAGCCCCAACCCACCTGGAGGGCGCCGAGTTGGGGAAGCCTGCTGGAAGACTTACTTGTGAGCTGGAATCATGTTGGCTTGTCATATCTGTGGTTTGAATCCTAGATTTATACAGTTGCTTGAGGGTGCTTCACATGTTGCCCAAACTTCAACTGCTGTATATCATAGCAATCTGAAAAGATGCTGGTTCATGAAGATCATGCCCTGGTGGGAGTTTGGGCCTATTGTCCTGGGGTAACTGTGCTGAGGTTTCTGGGGTGACTGTGCTGAGGCTGCCATGCTCTCTGTTTAGTGATTCTGGCATCCTTGCTTTACAATTCAGTAGATCGTAGAAGATTGTTAACAGGTTGTTGAATTGGTACAGTGAGCTCAGTTCAATGTAGATACTATTTGCTGTGTGTGTTGATTTGTACTCCTAACTGAAGATTAATATTTTAGAGTTAAAGGTTGTCTGATTCCATTCAGATAACATAGACAGCAAAGTAGACGTAGAGTATAATTGGCATCTCATACCTTTTGATTTTATTGGTTGTTTCATTCTCTTAACATCAATTCATATTTTTTAAAAATAATTGCAGGTGAACGAATTAAGAAACCTATTCCTCTGCAAGAACAGACTGTCAAAGATGAGAAGGGGCGGTACAAGCGTTTTCATGGAGCATTTAGTGGTGGCTTCTCTGCTGGCTACTTCAACACTGTGGGCTCAAAAGAAGGTTAGTAGTCATTCATGCCTGAAAATGATGTATTTTCTCCTGCTCTTGGTTTCAAGCTGTCTTTGGTAAGTTTAGTACACCAGAGTATACTTGGTTATATATTGGAAGACTGTCTGGTATATTTACATACAAAGATCAACATTCTACAACTTATTCTGGTTAGAATCATAGAGTGAAAGAGGGTTTTGTAAGCCCTGTAGTCCAATCTCAGGAAATTCCAGAGCATAGAACCATTTTGTATAAGTAGTAGTTTGAAGTGCTAGAGGAAGATGAGTGACACCTGGGTACAAATCCCCACTCAGCCATGAAGCTCTTTAGGCCATTTCTTGGTATAACATAAATCACCGAGTTTTGTGGGGATAAAATATTGAGAGGAAGAACCAAGCATGCTTTCCTGAACTTTATGAAGGTAATAAGTATGAAAAAGTAACTGTTCTTTAGCATTAATAGACTGTTCAAGGAATACATCTCATCACGGTCGTGCTCGGGGTGGGGTGGGGAGATGGCCGTGATCACGGTCGTGCTCGTGCAGGAAAGACGGGCGCGATCATGGTTGTGCTCACGGGGAAGATGGCCACGATTATGCTCGGGGGGGTGGGGGAGATGGCCGCGATCTTTGTTGTTCTTTGTCACTTTGTTTCAAATTTTTGTGATTAAAAAAAATGGTTACAGAACGGATTAACCTTATTTACATTGAACCTTATGGGGAAATTTAATTCCCCAATTTGGGTCACGACCAGAGTCGTGGAACGGATTAAGTTTGTGAGCCAGGGTACCACTGTACTTTGTATTCTCTTTGGTGCCAGGTGAAGACCTTTTTATTTTCCCAGTATTTTAACTTTCTAACATTTAAACTTTGTTTCTGTATATCCCATTTCATTTCTGTATGCATCTGTGCTGAATAATAGCAATTGCAGTTATGGTTTTGTTCTTTTAATATAACTGTTTGTATGCCTTTTTAACATCAGTTTAACTTTTGTTAACCGCCGGAGGGTCTTAGTTATTGGGTGGAATATAAATGAATTCATTCATTCATTAAAGTTTGGTGGGCTTACTCCCAGGTAATCCTGTACAAGATTGAAGCCTTAATTTTAAATCTATCTTTTTATAATTCTACTCTGAAGGATTAGACTAAAGTTTTGATCTCATGTCTTATAAAAATGAATTGTTATTGTCTTTAAAGGATGGGTACCATCAACCTTTGTATCATCCCGTCAAAACAGGGCAGAAAGAAAGGTTCTGGGACCAGAAGATTTTATGGATGAAGAGGTAAATTAGCAAAATAATGCAAGATCTTAAGAAAAAAACCCAGAAACATTGCCTTGAATATTTATAGTTCTAGATAGAGGGGAGGGGTGTGTGTGTGTGTGTGTGTGTGTGTGTGTGTGTGTGTAAACTATCTCCCTAAGGTTTCCATGAGAGAAAGCAGTTGGTGAAGATCTCAGGTTGTTTCTAGTGGGATTTTTTTTTTTAACTCTGGAGAGGACCATTACCACCAACTGTTCTATGAGAAGTATACAGTTTATTGTGCTTATAGTAACTCTTTATGTTACTTTTAAGCCACCTTGGGAGGCTTTGTATCCTGAAAGGCAGGAAATAAATAGCTGTAAAATATAAGATTATAGAAACCCTCTGGTTCTTCATTAAGAGGAAGTAAGTGCATATACTGCCTAATCTTTTTGGTGCATAATAAATATTAACTATATCTTAGTTTATGCAATAAATAATGGAATGCTTTTTTAATTTTTAAAATACTGTATTACTATGTGGATTTGAGGAGGGATTATTTCCATGCTGAAATGTTCTTTTCCTGCTTTTTCTTTCCCATCTTTTTGCCTTTATCACGTGGAAGGATCTTAGTGAATATGGGATAGCACCAAAAGAGATTACAATTACAGATGAATTTGCTTCCAAAAGCAAAGATAAAATAAAAGAGAAGGCTAGGCAGATTGCAGGAGTTGCTGCCCCTATTCCTGGAGCCACCATGTTGGATGAATTTATAGCACCTGCAAAGTAAGTATAGCTTGAAGGATGTCTTACGTTGTATTGCCAAAAAACAAGTTACTTTGAATTTCACTACATATTTTAAGGATTATTGTTTTAAAGATTGGCAACAGTTTTCCTCTTTAAACAAGCTTTGCTGTTGCTAAAATCAGGTCGTTGCTTTAAACAGTTGGTATTCTCTGTATTTTCCACGTATTCATTACATTAGGGTTTTAATCTGTGTAGTTGGAATAACCATTTGTTCCTACTTTTCAGAATAACTATTGGTATTGACTTGTTACGAAAAATGGGCTGGAAAGAAGGGCAAGGAGTTGGACCTCGAATAAAAAGAAAACCACGCAAACAAAAACCTGGTACATTCTAATGTATTTATTTTTTTAGTAAGAGAAAACAGAATGACCTGCTTTGAGTAATCATATCTTGACTTACTAAATCAACTTAGAAATGATATTTTTGCCTTTGTAACAGAAACAAGCAAACTAGGAAACTGCAAATTAATCCTAGTTTCCAATTCACTCCTAATTGTAAATAGTAGTCACCAGCTTTGGAATAAGCCCAGGGTATTAGACTATGCTTTGAAATTGCTGTAACATCCTGACTTGTTCTGAAGGTACTAACCATAGCTTCTTTATATCGATGAATGCGAAACCAAGGTTAATCAGAGTCAACTTGACTGACCTGTACTGCAGAGAGGTGGCGCACACAGGCAAAATGTTTGTACATGTCTTGGATTATTAAGCTGGCCATGGGAAAATTGGTCCAGCTGTATTAGTTCACTACAGAGATGTTTGCAGAGTCCTCATTGATTCTATATGTTAGTCTCTATAGTGACTCACATACATTAGAGTTATCCAGCTGACTTCAGAGGAACCATAGCAGTCATCCATTACATAGATTGTGCATGAAGTATTCCAAGTATTTTAATGCTGTGTCATCATATTTGGTTGCAGAGCCTGAAGTGAAAATATATGGATGTGCTTTGCCTCCAGGATCTGAAGATTCAGAGGTATTATTTCTGCAATATTTAGGGTAAGGGGGAATCAGAAGTTCCAACACAGTCTGCCATTATGCAGATAATAGAAACGATACATATTTACGTATATGCCAGTGGCATATTTTTATTTTTACTGTTATTCCTGCTTTATAGAACACTATTAATGTATGTAGAATTTTACAGAGTTGCCTAACAAGCAAAAGAGAAGTATTTGCCCTAAGGATCTTACAATCCAATAATTGATAGTGGGACACACAAGAGGTAGGAAAGAGAAAAGTGTTCTCTGGGTAAGAACAGCACAAGGTCTTAGAGTTTCACTGACTTTAGTAATGACGCTTCATTATAAATCTATGTTAACTTCCTAAAGGAAGAAGAGGATGAATATCAGCCAGAAAATGTGACATTTGCACCCAAAGATATAATGCCTGTGGACTTGACTCCCAAAGAGAATGTTCATGGACTTGGTTACAAAGGTCTGGATCCCACCAAAGCCTTATTTGGAGTTTCAGAAGAAAACTTAAACCTTTTTAGTTCCAGTTCTGAAAATTCAGCTCTGCTTGGTGACTTGCAGCTTGGTAAAGGACGGAAACTTGGTATTTCAGGACAGGTAAAGCATTATAAGTTAAAAGTTTCCCATAGTGCTGATTGGAAAAGTAGAAAGTCCCAGTTCTCGCAGTATAGCAGCAGTTTCTGGGTTGTTTAACCCAGGAATTACCAGAACAAGTGATGTGTGTGACTCATGTGCTTATCATTTCTACTTTTATTAGCAGCCTAAGAGCAGTGGGTGAACCCATAAGCAACCCAGAATTTCAAGGTTAATTAAAAATGGAAACCTAGCAGCTAGTGAGCAAGGATGGGTATCTAGGAGCATGTGCAGAGAGGCTGGACAAGCAAGTGGCAGCTGCTTCCGCTCCTAGTTTGTGTTACTGCTAACACTACCCGGAGTGCGGGCGAGGATCCATAGCAGCTCGGCACACAGAGGCCGGCACCGATCTCTCACCAGCCCCTTCTGCTGCTTGGCGGCAGTGGAAGCCACTCCACCAGGCCGAGTGAGTGGCTGTGCCATCGAGGAGCAACAGCAACTGTCACCATGATTCCCTCTCTTGTCCTCTTCAGGCACCATTTCGCTGTCTTGGGGGATACAGCAACTATACTAGTAATATACCTAGAGAGGTCAGGGATTGGAGCGCATTGGCAGAAATGCTGCCAGATCTCTCACACAAACAAAGCAACCCTGGAGCCAGCATTTTTTTTTAAATGTACCCAGGATGATGTAGCCAGTGGGGAAAAGTTCTGCTTATCCATCTCAATCGGAAATTCTGCTGTTAAAAGATTTCTAGGACACTCCTTCATGCTGCCTAGAAACATGTCTGCAGGCTCCTTTATTTTATCTTACTTTAGTTCCTATAAGGGCTTCAGTGGCTTGCCAGATAAAAATTAGACTAATCGTTAGTGTTTAAAAATAGCAACAACCAGCACCTTGTCTCAGAGAAAAGAGTGGCATTTTGGGTTGATTGCAGAGCACTTTGGATATGCTAAATGTTGCTCGATTTATTTTAGGCCAAGCTTTGCAGATAATGACATTGCATGGAAGGAGAACAAACAAATGCAGTGAAATAATGTATGTCATAGGTCAATAAGCTAATCTTATAAATCTGTGTCACGTATACAAATATGTAAATGCTTGTTATATTAAAAATTTTGCACTTTTTTCCACCTGAACATCTTCACAGCATTTTATAGCAATATTTTCAGAGAAAATACCCAAATCCAGCCTTCTCCAACTTGGTGCCCTCCAGGTGTTTTCAACTGCAACTCCTGCCATTCCTGGTCATTGGCCCTGTTGGCTGGAACTGATGGGAGTTGAAGTTCAGAACTTCTGGAGGATAGCAAGTTGAGGAAAGGTTTCCCTAAGCTGGAATTGTTCATGGATTTGAAGATCATTGCCATCCCTTTTAACGGTGTCCAGAAATGAAGTAGCATCCTAGCTTGTTATTACATTGCAATTATAGTCCTCCTATTTTCCTCTCGTGGGAAACCCAAGGAAGCTTCCATAGTCTTCTGCCACTCCATTTTGCCCCCACAATAACAACACGGCGAGGTGGGTTGGGCTGAGAGTGAATGGCTGTCCCAAAGTCACCCAGTGAGCTTTCTGGCTGGTGGGGACTAGAGTCCCCGGTCCAGTCCTCTAGCCACCACACCAGCTCTTTACAAATGAGATCCAGCAGAACATAACAAAACACAGGTGAAGGTGCATTGGCTTTCTTTAGTCTCTTGGGGATATTCTGGGCTGTGATGCCAGAGTTACAGTGCCTAGAGTTCTCTTGTGCAACACCTTGAAATCAACCATACATTCCCATTTGATTTTCCTGCAGGTGCAGTCTATTAAAATGATACTTGATTGTAACCATTCTATATTATATTGTTCTCTTAGGCTTTTGGTGTAGGAGCTTTGGAAGAGGAAGATTGTGACATTTATGCTACTGACTCACTTTCCAAATATGACACGGTTCTGAAAGATGAGGAGCCTGGAGATGGGTTATATGGCTGGACAGCCCCAAAGCAGTATAAAAGCAGGCAAGGTGTGCAGTTGGGATTTTCAGAAGCCCTCAGATACTTTCCATTGTAACTAGCAAAAAGGTGGGATCCTGGAGGAAAGGTTGCCCTGTGTTCCTCAACCATTCCCTGTCAGTTTTCTTTGAAAGTGTCTATGAATTCTGTCGTTTATTTTACAGAAACAGAGAAAGAATTGAAGTATATTGGGAAAACACTGGATGGATTTTCGCTGGCATCTAAGCCAGTAACCCGCCAAAAGGTAAGTAGACCATCCCTTTTTCCTTGGTAGGGAATTTCCAAAATTCTGGGTGGTTCATGGGTTGTTTCACTAGGTTGCAGAGGTAGCGGGCAAGACTAGTAAAAAAAATGCTTGGCCTCTTTATACACCAGGACTGCAAAGGCCATTGGGATAGAGGGAGGGAGCAGGTGAGGGAAGAGAGAAATACACAACCCAGGGACTGAGAGAACAAACCATGTTTGTTTAGCCAATTTCCAGACAAACCCTAAGTAGGGCAACTAACCATGGATAGTGTGTGAGTGGACTAGGCCAGTGTCTGCTGTCTCACAATTTTTGGCTGTACACGGCTCAGTCCAGTCCTGTGTATTGTTTCTGTGCCTGATTTTAGAAGTAAACACGGTATAGTGTCCTCTCTTCAAAAACCGCATTAGATTTATCCAGTGCTTAAGTAATCAATATGTTCCTATATCTACAAACAACGGCATGTCATACGGTTTTTTCTTTAAAAGATTTATCTGCCTCCTGACCTGCCAAGGGATTACAGACCAGTACACTACTTTCGACCTGTGATAAAAACTACTGGTGAAAATTTACATTTAGTGCAGACATTAGCAGAATCCACTGGGAAGCTTGAGAGTGACGGGGCACTCCAAGGCAGGCACCAAAAGACTGCGTCCCAGAGGAGGGAACTGCTGGGCGAGGCTAGTCTTCAAGGTACCCAGAATGCTCTATGCTCCTTGTATTATATGTGTCCACCATTGTAAACCAGAGCTGCTCTACTTTTTAGTTATATCTTATCTATTGAAAATCTATTCATATCCTCAATTTGCAAGAGCCCCCTACTTAACTCTAAACATTAATCCAGTTGCTTGATGGGTTTCTTTTGGCACTATTATATAACCAGCTCATCAGCATCCTGATTTGGTCAGACATTCAAGGCTGTGTGCATGTATAGTTTTCTTCCTGTTCTTGAGCTTCACACGTATTTCTGGATGGCAGTGTCACAGGCTTGCCAGCTTTGGTAGAGCTTGGAATGGAAAAGCAGATGCACTTCCTGGTTCTCTGCCTCATCTGACGTAAAGCACTCATGCTCCCTGTTCCCTAAAGGTGCTCTGAAAAGGCTTCAAGTATATGAAAGAGTATTATGGAGCCCAGCATTTCCCTTTTTCAGTATCCCATGCTCTGTGTGCCGTAGTATCGTGGTGAGTCTTCTCCCTGCTCCTTCCAAGCAGAGCAAGACAAAGGCTTTCTGACTAAAAGGCTTTACTATATTAATATTGACCAGCTAGACTGGCTTTGCAGTATAAAAGACAAGTGTTGTAATAACAAAAGGAAGAGGCAGAGCTAGAAGACTGGCCATTAGGGAAATGTGGCTTAACTATAAGAGCCTGTTTCCATACAGAATATCTCTCCTTCCTTCCAAAATGAAAAGGGCAAAACGCATCTTCAGGGTGGGTCCTCACTCCCCATGAGCACGCTGATTAAACTTGCCCACGGAGCTTGAAACTGTCTGATTCTCTGGGACTGCCTGGCTTACCTCTGCGTCCATTGGCTGTGGCAAGTCAGGGAATTCAGTGGCATCCTTTCTGCATCCAAATCTGTATCCGTAACCTTGGAAAGCTCATTTATAGGAGGCGTGGGCCCAGTCGCCACACTTAGCAAGTTTTATGGCAGAGTGCTGCTCCTGCTATGAGACACTTTCTCCATTTCAGGAGGAGAAAATGGTTCTGTGTTCAAACTTTTTTGCTACTTTCACACCATATTGCAGTTTTGTTGTTTGACACCACTATCAGTGAGATGCACGTTAATTTCTCAGACACATGCATACGTTTTTATTTTTTATTTTTATATATCTGACAGTTAACTAAAAGGTTCTTGCTTTCTTTTTTTAAACCAGGAGGTTTCTTGGTTGCCAGTTTTACATCATGATGTTTCTTCCTTTAGGTCCAACAACTTCTGTTCTAGAGTATTTGTCAGATAAAGACAGAGAGAGAATCCGAGAAGTGAAACAGGCAGCAGAACAGCGAGTAAAAGCTCCGGTGCTGCCTCAGCAGCCCTCACACAACAGAGTAACGGCGCCCACATTATACAGTGCTGCACAGCAGTGGCCGTTAGCCTTGGGAACCCAGCTGGGTGCAACTGGTTCCGGTAGCTTCAAACCATTTGCAAAGGATCCAGAAAAACAAAAGAGATATGAAAATTACCTAGAAAGTCTTAAACATGGAAAGAAAGGTAACTAGCAAGAGTGGGCACTGCTCTTTTCCTCCTTTAAGACTGATTCTGCTTCTTGATCTGAAAGTTGCACTTGTGGTGAGCAGAAGGAAAGGGGGAATGGCACCCAAGGCTGAGGTGAAGTGTCAAATTAGCGCTAAGAAAGATATAGTAATTATGATGTTGAGCAGGTCCAACACATTTTGACTGCATTCTTATGCAGTTCTGTTGCATAAGAGGGATTCGCTTTAAGCTTGTTATATTCCAGTATAGCAGTATAGTAATTTTCTTTCTTACCACCAAGCTTGATGCCTTGTCCCTTCCTTGTCTTTTTTAGCTTCTATACCCTGTATTCGTTTGTGTGCACATATTGAGTTCAACATCTTTGTGGATTTCAAGGAACACACTGGATATGATTTATTGTGTGCTTCACTTTGGTTTTATAGCCTGTTAATCATTCCTCCCTTTTCTTCCCCTAGATGAACTGGAAAGCTGCTTGGATCCAGGTATGACAGAATGGGAGCGTGGAAGAGAACAAGAAGAGTTCTCTCGCTCCGCACTGCTCTACAGATCCTCCAGCTCTGTCTTAGCTTCAAGGTTTACTCCTGCAAAGCATGAGGATGACACTGACAAAGCAGAAGTTCCTCGAGATCAAGAGGTGCCTTTTTGTTAACTCTTGTTGTTTCCAGCAACACTGTATTGCGTATTATCAACGTTTTTCTGTTTAAGCTCTTTTCCAAAAATTTTATTTTTCAAAAAAGTAAATCAAAAAGTTGTGTTTAATTTCAGTCACTGTGCCTTCCAAAGTATATTGAGTATAGCTTATGCATCGTTTTCTGTACATACGAATCATTGTATGTTTATTTTAGACTGATGTTGCTGACAAAGAGGCTGCTGCTAAGATGAAGATGTTTGGCAAGCTCACAAGAGAAAAGTTTGAGTGGCACCCTGATAAATTATTGTGCAAAAGATTTAATATTCCTGATCCCTATTCAGAGTAAGTTGGTTGAATAAATCAGTACTTTCCTTCCCTCGTCGTTTTGAATATCTGTAGAACAGACCAGGGTGGACTGTCTTCAGGGTTATAGGATTTGCTTTGTTTTTTACTAGCACCCAGAGATCCACCAACCATTCCTTGCTGCCGAACGGTGATGCTGCAGGCATACACTAAGAATGAAGGAATACAGAGCCTTTGAGTACATGCTCAGCTCAGAAAGCTATGACTGCTACTAAAACCAGCTTTCACACAAAAATACACTCCTGGTTTCCCCTTAGTGTCCTTTTTCAGCAACCTAATTGAAGAGGAAGAACATATTTTATTTGTTCTTTTTTTTTAGGCATTTGGCTGTCAAAAATCCTTGCCTGTCTAGTGAAAATCAACGAGCACTGTATACCAGTAGATCCCAATCTATCTTCTGCTTACCTCTGGAATGGACTACTAGATAGTAGCAGAAGTCATTGAAGATTTTTTTAACAGTGCACTTAAAACACGAACTACAAGTTGTTACTTTTTAAAAGCCTCCTTGGTTTTCTAATTAGTTTAAGGCTTGATCTGTAGAATGGAATTTCTGTAAAACTGTATTACTACTATAATTGTTTCCTTGTTTCTCATCATCAGTAATCTTGTTTCTTTCTGATAGTAAAAAAATAAACACAGAAACTTGATGTCAGATTTCCCCCCCATCAGGTCATGCATTGTTGGATTGCCCAAAGTGAAACGTGACAAGTATTCTGTATTCAATTTTCTGATGGTACCAGAATCCACATCTAGGATAGTCAGCCAGCCCGCAAAAGTAGGAGGGCAACAAAATAATACTCCGAACAGTAAGTGGTTCATTTTGTTGCTATGTGTAAGATTCAAACCATTGAAGTATTTGACTGATAGCAAGCTATGTTTTATGGAACAATGAATTCCAGCCTAGGTAGGGGTCAGAAATCTGCTTCTGTTTGGCATTTGATCCATAAATTATAAAGAAAAATATCTAATCCTTAAATGTATAAGCAGGGATTATGAAATAAAGACAATGTTTTTGAACTGACCAAAGAATTCTGATGAATAATATTGGAAGTTTATTTATCTCCTTAAGAGCCAAAGAAGCCATCAAGATGGGATGTGTCTGACAAAGAGAGAAAAAAAAAGGATGCCATTAGCGAGTTCATAAGTTTGGCTAGATCAAAAGTTGATGTTCAGGAGCAGCCTGCAACACCAGCCGAAGCAAAAGGCAAACATAGCACTGATGAAACTATTTCTGCTGAGGTAGAGTGGCTCCAAATGTTTTCGTTTCTACTGTACATACTTAATCCATTTTCTGACTGTCTTCTTCAGTAATGTCTTGATATTGACATTGGGGGTAATCTACTTTTATCTTGTTTTTAAAAATAATATTTAGTGACGATACTGCTTTCGGTATAATATGACTAACAGCTCCATTTTATTGTTCAGCTAAAGCAGCTTCCAGAGGAAACCTAGCATAATTAGATTCTGAGGTTCCCCACCTCTGTTCTATAGTTGGTTGACTTTAGAAACACTCTGTTTTCCTATGGAAATTCCTGTTCTTTACATTCATAATGGGGTGGAGACTGTTAAAGTGGTAAGAGGGTTATTTTTGTTAGGCTGATAAGGTATATTTTTTTTTAATGCATTGCCCTATTTTCCTTTTGGCCTTGCTATATAGACAGTAAGTGAAAATACTGCTCAGAATGAAGAAGTTGGGGAAGAAGAAAGCAGGCCATCAATGGATTTATTTAAAGCTATATTTGCCAGCTCCTCTGATGAAAAATCGTCTTCATCTGAAGAAGAGAGTGAGGGAGAAGAGCAAACAGCAACCATGGCAGAACCAGATCCTGAAAATGTGAACTGTCCTGCTCCATCAGCCGATGTTCAAGGTAACAGTGGCTTAGTTCAGACATAATACCAAACTTTCCCTTGGAATTATGGGAGTGAGCCATGTGCTCATGCATTCCTCCCTTCAGGCATAGTGCTCCCATCTTAGTGCAAATTGTAGTTTGCAACTGTTCAGCTGGGATTTGTCCTTTGTCTCCTGATCAGGATTGAAAGCCATGGCTTGAAGCCATTCTGATTTTGGAGGGTAAACGCAAGCCAAAGTTTGCCATGACATGCTGGCACATCTTGGTGTCTGTTTAAAAAAAAGGAAGTAATTTATTGAATATAAGAGGAGCGTATCCATTGGGATACCATATTTTACTATATTTGTGCTTAGGGAGTATCTGAGGCAGTTTTGTATGACTCTTGAACACCTGATAAAATCTGGAGAATTCCATGTTTACTGCTATGGTGAGGTAGAACCAGTGACAAGATAAAATTGATTGGACTATCAGTATATTACAAATATTTAATAAAAACCTTCCAGATCTCTTAGACCTCTATCACTCTGAACCTCTGAAAAGATATATGCTCACAAATGTCTAGTATAAGTTGGAAGAACCTTTGCTGTACCTCACCAAATTACTGTACCAGACATGTACAGTAAGTTGGGTTAACAGATCAATGGGCTACATCTGACTGAGCATGGTGGTTCTTGTTGTACTATCCTTTGAACTTTACTGTCAACCCCCACTTTTTGCTTTGTTTTAAAGAAAGTGAAGTTATCACACCTGAGCCTTCCATAAATGTAACTCTGTCTTCAAAGCAAGCTGAGCAAGCTGATCAAGTGGAGGAATTTGGACCAAGACTGCCTCCAGTTGTTTCTTCTGGTGAATACTTTTCAGCATACTGTGTAGCACTGTATCTGAATTTATAGTCTTTCTAAGTTTGCAATTCTAAAGGATTGTATAAAGGAATAGCGAAGTTTTGTTTAAACATGGGAACAGCCTGTTAGTGAAGATCATGACCCTGAGCTTGGTTTTAATATTGTGGCTAAGTAAAAATGTATGTTACAGTAGTAGGTTCATAAAATATGTCTTTTTAGTACAAGATAATTTTTTCTCATCTTCAAATATCACATGATCCTTGAAACTTGTTAGCACAATTAAACTTGCTAGCATGCAATTAGTTGACTCATCCATTAAATGGAGTTGGGACCCTTTGGATAGCTTAGGTGCACGTGGTTCACCCTCTTGTAGTGATCTTCACTATTTCCCCATTTTTGGCTCCATACATCACCACTTAGATTGCCTAGGGCCTCTCTCAAGTGGTGTAGCAACTCCGCGCTTCCCCGCCATGAAGAGACAAGGCCGCACGTCAGCTTTTCAGGCCTCTGCTCTACATCCGACTTGCACTGCTTAAACCAGGCTTCACTTAGCCATTAGGCGGACAAATTCTGACAGGATTACTGGGTTAGGCTTAGGCTTGTTCTCATTGCTGCAACTGTTCTGTGTTGTACTTGCTGCTACAAAATCTTCTGATACAGGTTGATGTTGCTCTGTTTTTCATCCATGCATTGAATTTCCCTTCCACCTCCAGTGTCTGTACAGTGTACCTCTAGAAGTCACCCAGTTGGCTCTATGGCTACTGAGTCCTAGTTCTGTGCTTGAACCACTACCCTGCACTGCTCTCATGTCAGATAAGTGGTGGTGCTCCTGACTCCACCTCTTAAAGCCTCTGTCAGTGATGAGGGCAGAGCAGCAGGCCCACCACAAAGCAAGGCAAAGCTGGAGAGTCCCTGCTGAAAGTCACCAGCTGCTACAAAAAGAGAATCTGGTGGAAAGCCACATTTGAGGCACCCACCTTGCACTGAAAAACAGTTTTCTATAGTAGCATTGGCACCTTGCACTCAGAGAAAAATCTCTGAATTTACCCATTGCACTGTACTGTCACACCAACAGAACCATCACAACAAAGTATTCTGACCATTAAGCAAAATGTTTGCTTGCCATCAGAAATGTATCCAACTTTGTTTCCGTTGTTCCTAAGAAATATACTTGAAAGCTAATTGAAAATACTGCTATTGAAACATCACAGACTGCTAAATAGTACACTCAGAATCGTGTTCATTGCACTGGCACTTTCTGAAGGTTCCAGAACTGGTATTTGTAGATTTTGAAGAAGATTGACACTGGGCTGAAATATTTTTTTCAGCAGCTCAATCAATAGTTTATATAAATAAAACATAAGTTAAGTAGGTTGTCTAGTTTTTTAAGAGGACTTCAAAAATCTAAAGTAATGACTAGGCATTCTTGAGTAGTTTTTGATGTATCTTGAACAATATTTTCTCTACATCTGATGCTTTTAGTCACTCCTTTGAAGCATGGTGAAATACAGCTTGACAATGTGAAGAAAGAGAAACCTAAAAAGAGCAAAGAAAAACATAAGGCCAAGAGAGAGCACAAACACAAAAAGGAAAAGGTGATTTATTTCAATAGATTTTCTTGGTGGAAACTTAAATCTATGCAAAACTACAACGAATGCAAAAAATAGCCCTGTGCAAGTGTTTGCTGCTGTCTCCACTGGACATAGGATTTCATGCGATCTGAATTGCATTGGCCAGCTCTCGCTCCACTTGATGTTTCTGTGTGGGGCTTACATGCATAGTCCCAGTTGTCTGAACAGCTTGATTTTGTGATGTTCCGGGGGAAAAACAGAGCTTGTGTTCCTTCAGCTTCATCCATGTATAGCCATGTGAATGAGTGGAAGTGGGAGGAAGATGGAGAGAGCAGGAAATGATCGCGGTTTAAATCCTGTGCCTCATGGGGGAATGACTTCATACAGTAAATGCCTTAAGAGCTCCAAATGTATAACAGTTTATTTATTTCAGGCATTTTTACCCCAGCCCTTTCAGAAGTCTCAGGATGGTGATACAACAGTAAAAAGCAGCATCAGATAAACAAAACCTGAGAAAACTAGTATTAAAACTAAATCAGCTCTTAAAATACCAGGAAAATAAAAAGGTTTTGGCCTGGCACTGAAATGGATAAAGTGTCAGCCCCAGAAGCACCTCTCTGGGGAGCATGTTCCAAAGCTGGGTGCCACCACAGAAAAGGTCTTTCTCTGGGTAGCCACCCTCCTAATCTCCTTCAAGGAGGGACCTCCCACCCGGATCTTAGGGGGTGGGCAGGCACATAGGGAAGGAGATGCTCTTTCAGATATCTAGGCCCTAAACCGTTCAGGGCTTTATAAGTCATCATCCACACCTTAAATTGGGCTTGGACTTCAGTTGGAAGCCAGTGCAGGCAGTACAGGGCTGGTGTTATGTGCACAGATCTAGCAAGCCCTGTTAAAAGCCTGGCTGCTCTGTTCTGGGCCAACTTCAGTATCTGGACCAACTTCCAGGGCAGCCCCATGTAGAGTGCATTACAGTAGTCCAGTCGGGAGGTTCCCAGAGCATGAGTCTCTGGAGTCCTCATGGGCGTTAAATGACTACATGCATACGGGTGAAAATTCAGACGATTATGGGCCTCCAGTGCAGGGTGGGAGGAGTGCAGATGTGGCCTTTGCTGCCTTGCAGTTTTGGCCATCTAGCTGAGGTATTTCAGATGGGAAGGGAAGGAGGCAGGGTGGGGGCAGCCATCTAAGGTTGCATTCTGGCGGATCCTGATTTCCTCCCCTCCCCGTTCCCTGAACGCCCTGTTTAATCCTTCATTGGGGTTGGTTTTACAGCCAACAGAGGCGCAGCTGATGTGGGTCTTTCCATGCTAGCTATGAGGGTCTATCAGACCCTTTGATTCTCACCTCCAAGGTTGGAGCCTCATTTTAATCTTAGAACTGACAGTTCTGCTGATCCAGTTGCTGCCCAGTGGATTGCTTTGCTGTGGATGCTAAACCCCTTTAGGCCAAAATAACATGAATGCTTACCTAATATTAAGCCCATTAAAGTTGGCAAGACTTGAGTAAACATGCATATGCTCTTATTGCACTTCTTTCAACCTTTTATCCTGCATTAGGTCATTTTATACGGGCTCATATTATGCAGATTAGTTTTGGGGGAGGGTGTTGTTTTGTGGTTTCTTCTCCTGTTTTGTCAAATTTCTTTTTCACAGCTGTAGAAATACATATTAATATTAGCCTTGAACTTTCTTTACAGAAAAAGAAACACAAGAAGTCCAAACACAAGGGTAAACACAAGAATAAGAAATTTGAGAAAAACAGTGGTTCAGACTCTGCTGGTAGCAGTGACAGCAACAGTGAGGAAGAGACTACAGATATAGCACCACAGGAACTTTTAAGAAGGTAACGTGGAAAAGGGGTTAACCCCATGTAGATATGAATGTGGGTAATGAAGTCCTCACACCTCCCTCAGTCTCTCTCACATACACGCACACATGACAGATGGAAAGACTAGCAACACAGTAATCTTAAAATCTTTATAAAGCTACATGTTAAATGGGATACCAAGAGTGGCAGTTTGGAATAATGGGAAATCAAAAGTCCTAAGGAGATTTTCCCAAGACCAAAATGGTTTTCACCACATATGAGACCATTTTCATCAGTTCAGGCAGGAAAGCTTATGCTACCAGGAAACTAGTCCTGTCTTGAGTCCCTGGGTCCAGGTACAGACACTCAGAGTTGGTTATTTGTTGGATAGGTGTCTGGGGAGATGGAGCCATAATAGACCAAGGCCCTTTGGCTTATGTATGTCTATTCAAAAGTAAGCCTCCTTAACATACTTTCAGTGTGTTTGTGTAAATTACAATATTTGTTTCAGTTAGTACTTTATGATTAATAGTTAAGATTTTCCCTATAAATTATAAAACTACATATTGTATATTTATATGCTGTCGGTTTCTCTTCATTGAAAATTGAGTTCATTATTGCAAGAATAATCCATTTGTGGTGACTTAAAATTACAGTTGAAAGTACTGGAGAAAATATCTGTTAGCAGTAGAAGGTTTTTTTTAAATAGTTTAGCTGTGAATGTGTAGTCATGCCTGGACTGGTTTAAAATGTTGTTCAAATCAGCTGTTAGAAGACTGTTTCCACACTGGTTCTTTCCATTATTTCCCTATTTAATTCTGTCCTCCTATTCCCCTTTCTCTTTAGGTTGAAACATCTTCCACTTGTAAAGCGGTAGCATGGATTCTTGGATACCCTGCATCCTTTGGTCTCAAAACAGATCTCCTCTATGATGGCAGATCCACCATATAAAGCATATTCAGATGTGCTGTATATACTGTATTTATGTTGGGTTTGGTAGCATAAAAGCATGTGTGCTGATTTTATAGTCTTAGTTAAAAATCAAAACATATTGTAAAACAGAAAGCAGTCATAAAGGTCTTCATTTTGATGAAGATAATAAGCATGAACATTTTTTAATAAAGTCTAGTTTACTAATCTTCCATCTAATGTCTAAACAAAATTACTTGAGCATGGATATGAGAAGGATGTGAAGCAGAGAGTGATTTCAGATTTGCCTTCTTTGACATTTTGAACCATTAAAGTAATTATGGTTTATTAGTATTTTATCCCACTGAAATAAATGGGACTTGATTAATTCTCACTGCATAAATACCCTTGAACTGGTTTGCATGGTGATGACTACCTAAATTTTTAAAAAATCAGTGTAGCAGTGAATGAGCGGGAGTTAGCATACTGGCTTCCAACTAACTTGTCACTCTCACTGAGATAAAAAATCTTAAGGTTGCTTTGTCTTGGACTGATTATTGTGACATTTGAACCTGCGACTCTGGGTTTTGGGGAGGAAAACACCTCAGAGTAGGAACACTCCTGGAGTTCCTGTTTCAGATGTCACTGAAAAAAAGAATGGAGCATTACTGGGCTATATATCTCAGCTGGAGTGACCATACAGCCAGGAACTTGGACATTTGATGCAACAGTTGCATTCTTGCAACTCGTAATTAAGTGTCCTTCAAGTGCAGTGCAGTCAACTTCATGACTGAGCATTAGTTCTGTAAATCTAAATTTCTGTCTTTCTAACATGCTGTGGGTGTTTGCGCACGGGTGGAGGGAAGAATAGCACCTTTTGAAGTTTTGCATCTCATGAGGCCACCAGACACAGTGTCTTGCATGGCTAACAGCACATCATTTCCTTCACAGTATAATAGAGCTTACCGGGTCCTGAAAGATTCCTAGCAGGAAGCTGCTTTCTGCTGCAGGGGTCCCATACTGAACATGAATTTTGTAAAGTTAATGGAAATTAACAGATAAAATTAACCTTTGCAGATAAAATTTGTTAAAATTCATACTATCTTAAGATGCAGCCCAAACACCATCCTGTCTAATGATTTTAGATACGTTCTGCTTGTACAGGTTGAAGATGTGGAAAAGCTGCTTGGAAGTTCAAGGTCTATCACCTGTTTTCTGGCTCCTTACCTTTTCTGATTATTAAAAGTTCCTAGGGCTGGCTTTACTGTCTGAGCCTTGGAAGTGGATAAACATTTCACTGAGGGAAGGGTACATTCCTACAGCTCTTAAATTGTTGGCAGTGAAACTTCAATTTGACAAGTTTAATTGTGAATCTTACAGTCTTGGAAAAATACTGCCTGATGTCAAATGTTGCATTCTTACAGCGAAAATGTCACTAGTGTGCAGATGGCATAGCTCTGCCTCTCATTTCCATCAATTAAGTGCAGGGAGGCTGTGGAACTTCAGAAGGAAGGCTGATTGCCAAAGAATTGAGGCCTTTGAATTGTGGTGCTGGAGAAGATTCCTGCAAGTACCTTGGACTGCAAGGAGATCAAACCAGTCAGTCTTAGAGGAGATCAACACCAGATACTGAAGATGAAAGTCAAATACTTTGGCCATCCAATGAGAAGGAAGGACTCATTGGAGAAGAGCCTAATGCTGGGAACAATTGATGGCAAAAGAAGAAGGTGAAGGTGACGGCAGAGAATGAGGTGGCTAGATGGAGTCACTAGGGCAGTGAGTGTGAGCTTAAGTGGACTCTGGAGGATGGTGGAGGATTGGAGAGCCTGGAGGAATGTGGTCCATGGGGTCATGATGGATTGGACGCGACTTCGCAACTACAACAACAATGAATGCAAGATGAGGGTATCTCTTCTTGAGGCGAAACAATGACAGCTCCTAGAAGTTATTTCTTATTTATTATGAATGATTTATTTATTACATTCATATCCCGCTTCCCAGCCAAAAAACTCCCAGAGTGGCTTATGTGGAACTAATCAGGCAGTTCCTGTCCACAGCCTTACTATCCAAAAATGTGACAAGGGAAAGGGAGAGAGCAGGAAAAAGAACTCGGGCACTAATTACACTTACAGAAACATACCTAGTTATATTCTCCCAAGAGCAGCAGTCTGGACTGGCAGCCACTGTTTGGTTGCTTTTAATTTTCTGTGGTCTCTGCAGCCATTGACTTTGTGTGTGCATTTGTGTGGGAGACCCTCCACGATTGCAGAGTCCATAGTTTAGGGGTTCCAGTTTCTCCAAATATGCATTGAGCTTTTATCGGGCTCTCATTGCATTCACACTGACCCATACATAAAATAGCCTAACTGAAGTAAGAGGAACTTAAGTCTATCAGAATCATGGCTAATTTTTTCCATTGAGTCCAGTGAATATACTCCAGTTAGGATGTATGGTTGTTTACACACACAGAGATGTACATGTCAGCTTCTACCCCCAGTCTTCGAGGTATCTCCTATTTAAAACTCGGGGTTTTAGGCGTTAAATTACTCCCACGCATTTGAGGAGAGCAAAAGATCCCGCCCCCCCCAAAAAGGGAAAACCGTGTGGGGGGAAGCAAAGGTTGAGGAGCGAGAGCGGCATCCCTCTCGGGCGCCTAAGGGAGCCACGACGGGAAGGCTCACGCGTGCGGGGCGCTCGTCTGCACAGGGGAGGCCCGCCATTCGCAGCCCGTGGCGCAATGCAGGCCTTCCCCTCCGGCGCCCGGGCCCGCCTCGATTTATCTCCGCCCCGACTGAGGCGGGGGACGCGCGAGCGACCCGGCCGGCTGCCAGGGCTGCGGCGCCCTCCGGCCACAGGCAGCCGCAGAAAACGCCTCCCCCGCGATGCCTCCGCCCGCACCCCGCCGAGATGACCCCCTGGCGACCTCGGGCCACTCGCTGCCGCTTTGGGAAGGGGACCACGAGAAGCTGGCCAAGGTGGGGCGGGAAGCACGCCCGCCGCCGCCCCTGCTCCAGTTTGGGGGGAAAGGGGGGCCGCCTGTGTGGCCGCGAAGGAGGGATTTATTTTGCGGACGCAGCCCGCCACTCCTTCAAGCAGCCCAGGGTGATGCACGGGTTGTGCTATGCTCTTAGGGGTTGTCTCATTTTAGTTTGATACATTTTGGTAGTTGCCTTGACTACAGTACTTTGTAAACAAAGCCGAACAGAAGGAGCTAGATAGGGTTGTATTTATTAGATTTGTATCCTGACTTTTTCCCTGCAAGGAACCCAGGCGGATTGATACAAGCTTCTTCTCCATTTTACCCCTGAGTCCCAGTCCTGCACTCTAATTGCTACTTTTTACTGGCCTTTGGGTTTTATGTACCTCATGCGGTTGTTATGCAGATACAGTGGAGAAGCCTAGACATCACCTTTCTTACTGGGAAGAAAACAGGTAGAAAGAAAACAAATTAATTACAGCTATATCCCACTTCTTTCCTTTTGCAAGAAACCCAAGGCAGCATACGCAATCCTATTTTCAAGGCCTCACAACATCCCTGTGAGGTAGCTTAGGCTGAGAGTCAGTGATTGGTCCAAAGCCACCCAGTTAGCATCATGGTCAACTGGGAACAGGGATCCAGTTCTCCCAATTCTCAGTCCAGTATTCTGGTCACTACAACACACTGCACCATGAAGATGATAACACATGCAGCGTTTGTATGGTCCTTCCTCCTGCTCAGTCTTGCTTCACCCCCATTTTTTCTTCTCAACAACCTTTTGAGGTAGGTTAAGTGAAAAAGACTAGCTCAAGGTCATTGAGCATTGTGACTAAGCAGAGGTTTTAACACAGTCCCAGTCTGATAAAGCTACACTCCATCAAGGACAAAACTAGAGGAGGCTGTTTCTATTAATAGCAAAGTAACCAGGTTGGGTTTGGAGATTAACTCAGAACACTGGTGCTGCTAGGGAAGCTGGGAGCTAAGTATTTTCTTCACCATTCTTCCCAATACAAATTTCTCCTACCTCCCTAACAGCTATTCACCGTACTGGGGAAACAATACACCTTAGGTGCTATAGTATTGTTGTTATCACTGCTGCCATCACCAATGTGAAATCACCATTCTGCACACATACACTCAAAACGTGCACATTGCCTGGGCAGAAAAATGGAAGAAAACATTTCTTGATATGTCTTTTGAATAAGCTGACTGTATATGCAAAACAATATTAAGTGAAGCATCCCCTGTTTGGAGAGTTGTTGGAGATTAAAGTCAGTGTGAGGAAATATGGCATGGCTATAAAGAGCCTAAACTGCACAGGCACTGCTCACCGCAAGCAAACTCTGCAGCTTGGAGTCTTTTCCTTTTGCTTTTTTAACAGTGATCATGCTGCAGATATCATGTATGAACAGAACTTTAACTTTACTGACCAAAGGTAAACTGGTGGGGATTGAAAGATTTGATAATGTATTTTATTCTGACTGGATTGGACGCTATCCACCAGACTAGGCACAGCCAATATTCTCAGTTGATGGCTTGTATGGTTGCTTCCCATATTTATATTGTGCAACATCCTGGATCTTCACGTCATGAAATGTGGTATAGGAATGTTCTACATACATAATACAATAGCAATGGCTAATAGTTAATTCTTAACAAAGAAATAATTAGATTAATGGAACTTCCCCAGCAAATTAAGAGGACTCCCTTAACATTATAAGATTAAAGTATCTCCTGGGTAAGGCAAGAGACCAAATATTAATGTTCTGAGGAAGTGGCAATTATGAAGCTTGTGGCGGCCACTTCACAGACCAGCAACATGCTATGAGGAGCAAACTGGTCAATGCAGAGATTGAAAATAGACTCCAGGGCAGCACCTGTTCAATAGATCAGTTCTGATATATGAATAAGGAATTCCATTGACAGAATGGAAAGTATTTCTAATTCTTCTAGACTTGTGCATCTATAAAAGCAATGGTAGGAGATAAAGATTAAATCTTTTTTCTTTCACAGATTCATTTTAAAATTTTAAAAGGACATTCGGATGCTGTGACCTCCTGTCATTTCTGTTTTGAAGATACAAAAGTTATTTCAGCCTCTTATGACAGCACGGTAAAACTCTGGGTAAGTTGTTAGAAACCTGAATCAACAAATCCAAGTTAGCATGCAGCTGTTAGTGTAAATTGTAATTTACCATGTTTAAACTTTTAGTATTGAAAGTTAAAGATTGTTATGAAGTCTCTAAACATTTTGAAAGAAGTGTTTGTGTCTAATTCAAATAGCAACATTTCTGCTTTTTGCTCAGTGAACACTTGCTTTGTAGAACTTATTTTTATAGGATCTTGTGATGGCTTATTACACAGGTGTTAAAAATAATATTATACAGGTTTGGAAAATACAAATATCTGTCAAAAACATATTTAGCTTTGTGGCAGATGCCCCTGAATGTTAGACCTACCAACAGGTCTCAAGACAACTCACAACAGAGCAGCACAGTTAAAATAGTATGTAAAAACATATAATAAAAATCCTATCTTAAAAATGCCACCAAACCTTAAAATACCAAGTAAATAAAAAGGTTTTGTCCTGGCGCTGAAATGAATAATGAGTTGGTGCCAGGTGCACCTCTCTAGGGAGCAGGTTCTAAGCTGGGGCACCACAGAAAAGGCCCTTCTCCGGGTAGCCACTCTTCTAGCCTCCTTCAAAGAGGGCTCCCGAAGAAAGACCTCAGTGGAAGATATTAAGGGTTAGGCACATATATGTAAAAGGAGATGCTTCTTCAGATTTTCAGATCCTAAACTGTTTAGGACTTTGCACGTCAAAGTTAACACCTTAAACTGGGCCCAGACTTCAGCTGGTAGCCAGTGAAGATGGTAGAGGACCGGCATGACATGGTTACGCCAGCCAGTGCCTGTCAGTAGCCTGACTGTCCTATTTGGCACCAACTGAAGTGCTCTACGTGAGCAAGTGTAGTCTCGTGTAGAGCACATTACAATAGTCCAACTGGATCACTGTTGCTAGACTCTGCTGCACGTAAGGATGTAGTTGATGGACTAGCTGAAGCTGGTGGAACATGCTCCTCACCACAGCAGTCGCCTGAAACTCCAGAGATGGCTCTGGGTCGAGGAGCACTCCCAAACTACACACTCTGTCCTTTAGGGGGAGTGCAACCCTGTCCAGACAGGGCAGTTATCACTGTGATAGCTGATCCAGCTACCAACAGAACCTCTGTCTTATCTGGATTAAGTCTCAATTTGTTGGCCCTCATCCAGACCATCACACTGGCCAGACATGGATTCTGAACAGTCACTACCTCACCTGGTTTAGATGTAAAGGAGAGGTAGAGCTTGGTGTCACCAGCATACTGGTGACACCTCAACCCAAACCTCTGGATGACCTCTCCCAGTGGTTTCATGTAGATGCTGAATAGCATGGCAGATGGGATGGAACCCTGTGGTACATCATAATCCCTCACTACCACCTTCTTGAATTGGCCAGCCAAGTAAGAGTGGAAGCACTGCAAAGCAGTGCCTCCAACCCTCAACTCGGTTAGCCTCTCCAGAAGGATATCATGGTCAATGGTATCAAAAGCTGCCCAGAAGAACCAACAAAGACACACTACCACGTCCCTCTCCCTGCACAGGCCACTGTACAGGGCAACCGAGCAGTTTCAGTCTCAAACCCTGAAACCAGACTGGAATGGATCCAGATGATCAGTTTCCTTCGAGAGTACCTGGAGTCGTCCAGTTACCACTTGCTCGAACACCTTGCTCAAGAACGGGATAATAGTCACGAGTCTATAATTGGTGGCAACTTCTGGGTTCAGGGTTGCCTTCTTTAGGATAGGCCTAACAACCACCCCTTCAGGGGAGCAGGAACCAGCTCCTCCCTCAGAGAGGCATTTACAGCTTCCTGGACCCAGTTGGCTTTGGTGATCAGTCATGAAAGGCAAGGGTGGAGTAAGCACATGGAGGGTTGGACCTGCCCAAGCACCTTGTTCACATCCTCAGACTGCAGTAATTGAAACCTATCAAACAGAGGTGGACTAGGTGGTACTCTGAATACTTCCCCTACAGGAACAGAGCTAACTGTGGAGTCCAAACTGTGGCAAATCTGAGCGACTTCATCCCTGCAGTGCTGTGCAAATACGTCACAACAGGTCTCCACGGGTTCAAGAGGATCCATCTTGGGCCCAGAATGGAACAGGCCCTGCACCACCCAGAAAAGCTCTGCTGGATGACACTATCCAGGGTTAACTTAAACCTTGGGCATTCGTATCATGAGAACCAGTTGCATCCGAGGCAAGATCTTTTTACAATCTAAATGTGCTACTTTATAATCAAACTCCTCTTTATTTATTGAAGGATATTGCGAGTTCTGTCTCTGTTCAGACTTTTAAAGATAAGCACACTGGACCCATTTCTGAATGCTGCCTGAGTCCTGATAACAAAAGGTAATAATTCTGTTGTATTTACTAAAATACAAAATGATTATATGTTGAACTGAATTATGCATTTTTGTGGTACATGGGAAGAAACAATGGCAAAACAAAACAGACAGTGCAGTGTGATCTGAAAGAGTCAATAAAGAAATCCCAATTTAATTTAATAGATTTACAGTTTTACTAAAATGCAATCAGTTTTCCCACTGTGAAGTGATCACACCTAATGGTCATGTTTTGACTTCAAGTTCTGGATAAGCATCATGGCTATATGCTCCTCTCTTGCCCCTTTCCGTCATTCCTACTATTACACATAGGCTTTGCAGCAAAGTTCCAGGCTTGTACTAAACTAGAGTTCATTATTATTACACTGCATTTATATCTCAACTTTTTCCATCTTGCGAGTAATTCAAGGCAGCTTACATAGTTCTCCACTCCATTTTTATGCTGGCAGTAAGTAGCTCAGGCTGAGGTTAGGCCCACAGTCACCCAGTGAACTTTCAAAATGTGCGGAGACTAGAACCCAGGTCTCCCATGTGCCCAGTCTGGCACTCTGACCACTGCAGTGCAGTGGCTCTCAAGCCTGAACTCTGGGACCCCTGCATTTTAGAGGCTAGCAGGGCTCTTCTTTCTCTGTCACCCCTCTAGTTGTTTGGTCTGTCCCCCAATGCCACATCACGGGGTCAAGAGTTGTGCCAGGCTCAGGGAATTCTTCTCCCTGCAGCTGTAAATCCTGACTATGCTCAACATCCACCTGCACATTTTGGGAAGGTGCCCTCCTCCACTTCTTCCATTTCAATGTTTGAGCATTCCAGATCTAGGCAGAATTCTGAGACTGCGAGGCAGGGGATGGAAGGCTTGGGAATTGCACTTCTTTCAATAGAAGTGTTTTATTTACACCAGTTCTTTTACAGATGCAATATCGCCCTTGCAGAGGGCAAAACAAGTGATCTAGAGAGCATGGGGTTCTTCCTAAGCCATGGGTCTCCACTTGTCCTGGTGCTGGTGCTCTGCAGGCACAGGGGTATTACTGTTCCCGCATATATTTTGCCTGCCAGTCACTGGGTCATTGTGCTCTGCTGACTTAGGGAAATTTATAAGTGATTCTATCTGAATGAGAGGACTAGTGAATGAATCGTGTATGAACTGAGTGAGCAACTTGCAACTCCTCTATCTTCATAGGTTTTTTGCCTATGAATTTATGACAGAAAAATGTTACTCATTATAGCCAATTTATTCCCTGTATGTTTATTAATATTATCCATCCCAGTTTCCAATTTGAGTGTACCTGGAATAGAACAAACAAAATTGAACCATCTAATATATGAAAATGTATCTTCAATGTATCTAGATACTATACATGATATCAGATTAATTTGTCTGGAGTAGAAAAACACATAAAGCCTATATATAAAGTATTTTTGCTATCTTTGAAAGAATATATATGTGCTTAATGTTTAGGTTGATAACAGCATCGTATGATAAAACTCTAAAGGCATGGGATACTGAAACAGGGAAAATGCTTGTAAGTATATATTTATTTTCTTAAACCCTATTTAGTAACTGGAAACTGAATTTGCATTCCATTAAATATTTATCCTTGCAAACATTCTCCTGGAGGATGAGGGTGGCAGTGAGGATGGCTTGGTGAAGAATGTTGCAGTGAACAATCAAAGGAAAGGGTAAAGTATGCCCCCTACTCCAGCCCTTCACTGCCAGCAATCAAGTAGCGTTCTCTCTGTGTGCATTTGTCTGTCCTGGGGCTTCTACCAACCTTGAAACAATTTCAAGAGTGGGTTACAAAACAAAATTGAAATACATTTTTGTCCTTAAGCATGCAACCAGTTTAGTAAAAGCAAGCAGACCAAACTGAACAGTATAAACTTGCAGCAAAGACGGATTAGATTAAAAGACTTGGGGAAATAAAGAAGTCTTTGCCTGGAGCCAACGTGATATCTGAATAAATGCAGGAATGCCCTTCTAGGGAACTCATTCCTCTGAATGTGACATCGATGTTTCTGTGTAGAGTTCAGTTTCATCCTAAGACCTCACTCAGTTGGTACAGATTTTGTTCATGCAGTTTAAAAAAGCAATAAACACAAAAATTGCAAAATGTAGAAGCGTGTTTGTGAACACACCTTTCCTTTCTATTGTGGGGAGAAAAATAGCCATGGAGCACTTTTCACTGGGAAAACAGAAGAGAGGGCAAAGTACTGCCACTGAGTTAAATTTTAAGGCCTCTTTCTTTTCAATTACACAGAAAACAGGTTTGGCAATTGTTGTGCTTCTCCTATGGCTCACCTAATGTTAGATAGCTCAGCAACTACTTATTTAGGTACAGTTTAATTCAACTGCAGCAAAAACTGGTCACGACTAAGCCCAATTGAAACTAATGGAACATAAACAGGTATATACCTCTGGGGAAATCCTGGATCCATAATAATCCACTGAAGACTCAGGTGACCTCTGGGTCACAGAGGCAGTAGCCCGGCCAGCTTTTATCTTATCTGGATTAAGGATAGCCTAGTGTCAATTTTCTGTGGTCTGGTAAATTCTAGGTTAGGTGACTGCATTGTGTTATATGTTGGGTTGCCTTTGAAGATGGCTTGCAAACTGCAGTTACTGTAGCAATCAGCAGCCATTGACTGGACTGTGAACGTGTAAAGTGCATCCGACTCAGCTGCACTGGTTGTTAATTTGTTTCTGGATCGAATTCAAAGTGCTGGTTCAGCCTATAAGACCCTACACAGCTTGAGCCCTCAGTAGCTTAAGGATTGCCTTTCACCATATAAATCTACTCTTCTCTGTTGTGCCGCTTTTCAGCCATACTGCTGCATTTATGAAGCACTCCTTCCAAGTGAATTCAATATCTTCTTTCATGTGCCAAAGAAAGATGCGCTTACTTTTCCAGTTTAGAGGCCTGTTTCCCGTGTTTTGCTTTTGTTGTGTTCATCTAAATGGGTGGGGAGATTTGTGGATGAACACATTTTGTATTGTTTTTATGGTGTCTATTTTGATTTATGTAATTGTGCTGTTTATATTTCATTTTTGTTGTTGCTGTATTCTCTCTCTCTTTCACTTGCTCTGTGTTTGTGTGTGTGTGTGCGTGAGAGAGAGCGAGAGAGAGAGATCTGTAAGTTACTCTGAAACTGCTTTTTGCTATGGCATGTGACACCTACTTTTAAATAATAATTTAAAAATGTGACATACAACTAATACAGGCCTTACTGGTATTAATGTGGCTAAGTCACAACTAACTTTAGCTAATATTCAACTGTTTGGGCCTTAGCTAATCAGCCTAGAAGAAATAATCTCAATGGCTTCTGTTTCATCTCTAGTGGTCCGTAGAGCAGGATGGCCTCCTAACCTCATGCCATATTTCTCATGATGGTAAATATGCCGTCTCTGGATCAGATATGGAAAATGCTTTATTAATCTGCAGTGCAGAAGATGCAAAGCAGGTGACATTTCTCAGAGGTAATTTTTAACACTTTGGTTAATGTCATTTTCTTCATATGTCAGGAACTTGTGTAGGACACAATCTTGTTAGGCTGTTCCCTTCTCTCTTTGCATGTTGTTGAATGTATGTGGGTACTTTGATCCAGAATGCATATGGATTCCTTCTACATGGGGGTTGCCTTCTTCATCTGCTTACAAAAAAGCAAATCTACATGCGACTATTAATTCTATGGCTTAATACAATTTATTTTTGCTGGGTTTTCCTCAGTGCTTTTTTACAAGGAACATCTGAAATTGTCAGTGACTCTTGGGTCCTATTTTAACCTTCACAATTAGGTTCATTGACAGAACATACAGTGGGCCAATTTGCATGAGAAAACAGCCAAGACTTGTTTTAACCAGAGGTGCATCCTGGACACCATTTCCTGAATTGCCTGCCTGGGTATTGCGTTGTCCAAAATCAGGTGGCATGGCTTGTTTGTTAACTATGTAACAGGCCATGGGTACTTGAGGGCTGTCCCCCTCTTAAAAAGCCAAGATGAGATAACATGCCGAGATGACATGTGTGCCCAGGCAGGGAAATGGCAGCTGGCAAATGCTGGCATACCTCACGGATTAAATTTGATTGTGTGAACTGGGACTAGAATTTCATGGTGTTTTGTAAACCACTCCAGCCAACCATCCTCACCAAATAGGTGGCTTCTGACCAGCAAGTGTAGGGAAGAAAAATAAGTAACTGTGGCTAATTTCCCCTCAACATGCATTTCACTCAAGAATTGCTTGGAAGGAATAAAGCAACTTGCACACTGCCTCCTGCATGCTCGTTGTTTCTGCTTTCAGTTAAAAAAACCCAGAAACATTCTTGGGTTGTTTTGTGACATGTGGACACCAGGAACCATGAAGTATTCATGGTTAAACAATGCAGAGTTGACCCAAACACTGTCCATAGTTTGTTGTTAAGCCTGGGTTTTTTGTGTGTTTTTCTGGGTTCAAACATTATGAAATAACTCTCAAAATTGAAAGTAGAAATAAGTGCTTTGGAGCCAGATGCTTTTTGCTTTCCTCATCCTTGGCAATTTCTGGGCTGATCAACCCAGCAATTGTGGCATGACATGGAAGCTCACTCTGTGTGTGTGTGTGTGTGTGTGTGTGTGTGTGTGTGTGTGTGAGAGAGAGAGAGAGAGAGAGAGAGAGAGAGGAAAAGAATACTTCCTCAGTATGCGCTGTTTATTGCAGTACATTGGGTTAACAGAATTAACATGGCAATGGCATTACTGCTTCACCATGAACGAACTGCCATTATGTCTTTCATTTAGATCAGGAATGTGTAATTTCTTGGGGTAAGATGGCCACATTGCCTTCTCCAAATCCTGCCATATCTCGCCATTGGTAAATTTGGTATGATAGTGGCCAAAACTGCTAATTGTATTTGAGAATAAGAGGTATTCTCCCCTTCTGCCTTGTTGTCAAGCAAAAACATGCTGCTGCTTTGCTGCTGCCAGTTCCAGTTCAGTGGTGGGGCACAAAAGAGGCTGGGCTGGGAGGACATGCAGCCTCAGGCAGCATGTTGCCAACTTCTCTATGGCATTGATTGGAAGAGTTAAGCTTTGATTTCCTGCTCTGAACCCCCAGAACTTAGACTTTAAAAAAGGATTGAAAATAACTTGAAAACAGATAAGGGTAACCATCAGTACCCAAATATGAATAACAAAATGTCCCTGGCCAAAGTGTTTACCATCTATAATCTTCCGTGGTAAAAAATTGGAGTATTTTTTTGTTTCAGAGTATCACAGAAGCACAGTGAAGAGATGCCGGTTTGATCCTCATAACCAGCGAGTAGCTACAGTATCATCTGACATGTCTATAAAATTCTGGGATATTATAGCACAGTCCACCACAATCACAATTGAACGGTAAGAAACAGTAATGCAATGAACGATGTGACTGTCATTAAACCTGCTTCCTCAGTGTGAAATTGATAGAGGATACTTTGGACCACAGAGCCAGCTCATAATTTTTTCCTTATCTACCATGTCCAAATCGGTGTTGCTCCTACTTGCACTTCACAGGTGGTTATCTAAAGCTCTTCCCATTGACTAAAAGCAAAGCCCCATGTTATGTGCTTAAAAATAATAGCATCAGAAACAATGAAGGCAATCAGGAAGAGCAGTAACTGTCCTGTGGACATTCTCTCCAGGAGCCCTGCAGAAATCAAATACCCCACTTACTTGATAGAGGAGTAAATCTGTAAATATTATAGCACCTGGTTCCAGTGATTTTTAAATCTCTTTCAGGGCACATAATAACGCAATCGCAGACTGCTGTTTTTCCTTGGATGGTCATTTTTTGTGTACAGCTGGTTGGGATGAAAACATAAAGTTATGGGATATCAGAACAGGAGAATTCCGTTCTCATGGGCCCATCACTTTGGAGCAAGGTCATATAGGTATCGTTGGCTGCTGTGATATTAGTAAAGATGGTGAGTCACATAAAACAATGTATGACACTTTTTGCATCTGCTCGTATGTGCAGGGTGTTATTTTCAGATGAATCACAAGGGTGGTATTCAGAACACTAATTCAGTTCTCAGTCTGAAAATGCAGTGATTTTCCATTTTGATTAAATGGTTGCCCATGCAATTGAGGTAAACTGAACTTGGTGGCTTCCATTTCTCTGTAATACACCTTCTAAAGCACTGCTTAGTTGATATATTCATTAAGATTAACTGTTAAGAGAGCATGTATGACTATGTTCTGAATATTCCAGCAAATGTTATTACATAGCCAAGGACCATAAATGGTCATTCCAGAGCTAATGTAACAATAGCAGATTTCTCGCCACCTTGAAGGCATTCAGGAATATCATTGGCTGGTGAATAATCATCCTACCAACTCTTAAGTGGTTGTTCTCAACTCTCCTGTATGATATTTTTATCTTTCTATAGTTACTAACCACAACATATTTTATATATAACTGTATCATATAATTACACTGAGGCTACTCAGGCTCACATTGGTTGTGTGATCATCTGTGGCTTGATCCTGTAAGACAAGGGGTGGAGAGCATTGACAGGGGATGAGAGGAGATGTCACTGGCAATAGCAAGAGTGGAAGGGGTATAAGCTTTTGTTGCTCTTGTTGGGTGCCTTTCTAGCTATTTCCAACAGACCACAGTGAAGGTCACCATCCTGCATGCAGATGTCATAACAAGCCATTCCAAGCCCAACAACAATTCCTGAGTTCCTAATGGTGGAAGGCAGCTCATAATGGACAAACTGCTCCAGACTCATATGTTACAACAAGCAAGCCTGAAACAACCCATGGTGCCAACCCACCATGTAATACGAACCAGATCGATGTAAAGACAATGGTTTCTGTGGGGTTGATGACTGCAATACTAGTGTAACATTCCGTTCCATGAGGCTGCAGGCTGACATAGACACATGCACCAGAAACATAGTCGCTGTAACTCACAGGACCATTATGCTAGTTTTCTAAGTGCAAGGTACTTTTTCATGGACAGACAACCTCTGTGATAGCAATATAATTAACATAATATAATAATTTTATGTTTCAGCATCAGTTTTGGTGTCTGGAGGTTATGACAAAACAATTGTTATCTGGGATACACAAGAAGCATATAAAAAGCTAAGTTTAAAGGTACTATGTAAGCTTTCATTTTGGCAAAGGGGAACTTAAGTTTGCTTCCATAGAAGTCAGCTCTGAAAATACAGCTGACATTGGGTGATATTTTTAACGCTTTTTCTACAATAATAATTCAATGACCACTTTTCTTCAACACATGACATTGCAATAAATAATGTGTCAAGTTCTTTGTACATAATGTCATTGTAATATCGTCATTACAATATTATTTAATATCAGTATGTTTCTGCCCTTCCTTTTTTATGCCAAGAAGTACCCTGCTAGTGTGCATCAGAAACCATCGTCTGAATGCCTCACCTGTCTAGCGCTGCTCCCAGCACCAAGGCCTGGGCTCAGAGCCTATGCATCAGCTATAGGCAAAATCCCCCTACTGAAAAAGTGAAACAGGACAGTAGTTTTTCAACAAGAATGATAAAAACAAATCTATGCAAGGTTTGCTGAAGAATATTTAAAAGTGTGTTAAAAATATTTTGGAAATGCTTTGGTGAGAAGCTGAAGGAATTACTTTATATTATAGCAGGACCTCTGATAGAACATAATATACCTATTTTGCTCCCTACTGCCACCATAAAAAGACTGGATTTGAACATATACACAGACATTTACAACTGAAAAGCATGGAAATAAGAATGAAACTAACAATACAAACCAGTGCATATTTACACAGAAGTATATCTCTGTGAGTTTCATTAAACTTACCTACTTGTAAATATATTTAGGATAGTAGCCTAAAATACAGCCAGAAGGCCAGATTTGAGCCACTGTTTCCTTGCAGGGTCATGGAGACTGGGTGACAGACATTGCAATTAGTACTGACAAGAAGCGGCTTGTTTCTTCCTCAAAGGTAACAATAAACTTAAAGAAATAATTAGGATTTCTAGGGAAATGTGCTCAAAGGTGAAAATCTTTATGGAATGACCCAGGAAGTCATGTTCTAAAATTAATGAGGAATATTTTCAGGTAGTGAAAATGAATGTGTGTTTGTGTGTCTGTGGGCAACATAGGATTTAACAGAATCATAGAACGGCAGAGTTGGAAGGTACTAAAAAGGGCATCAGTTCCAGTTTGCTGCTTAAAATGCAGGACTCCAAGTTCAAGTATCCTACCAGAGAGCTGTCCAGTTGCATCTTGAATGACACTAGTGCAGAATTGTACACAACCTCCCTAGGTAATTTATTCCTTAGTTATATTGCTCCAACAGGACATGTTTTTCTGATGTTCAGTTTTAACCTGACTCCCTGTAACTTGAGCCTGTTGTTGTTGTTACACTGCATTTATATCCTACCTTTTTTCCTCTTGTGAGGAACCCTGGGCAGCTTACATAGTACAACTACGACCCCGTGAAGTGGGTTAGTCTGAGAGTGGGTGGGTGACCCAAAATCAACCAGTAAGCTTCATGGTCAAGCAAGCACTAGAACCTGGATCTCCCAAGTCCCCAGTCTAAGGCATCACGCTGGCTCTCCAGTCCATGTCCTGCGCTCTGGCTTGTGTGAGAAGAGATCCCAGCCCTCCTCCTAGCGGTAACTTTTCAAGTACTTGAAGAGTACAATCATATTTCCTCTCAGTCTTCTCTTCTCAAGGCTAAACGTGAACATTTCTTTCTCTCCTCATAGGACTTTGTTTCCAGTTCCCTGATAATCCTTGTTGCCTCTTCTGAATCTTTTCCAGTTTGTTCACATCTTTCTTAAACTGTGGTACCCAGAACTGGACACAGTACTGAAGATGAGGTCTAACCAGAACTGAGTAGAGGGGAAGCAGTATTTCACATGATTTGGAAATGATACTTCTACTAATGCAAAGCAAGAGAGCATTTGCTTTTTTGCATCTTCTAGCCCACTTCTAGCTAATTTGCTAATCGGGATATCATGACGCATTTTGTCAAAAGCTTTGCTGAAGCCAAGACATGCTATGTCCACAGCACTCCTGCAGGCCACCAGGGAGGTTACCCAATCCAAAACGGAGATCATATTAGTCTAACAGGATTTGTTCTTGACAAATCCATGCTGGCATCAAGTAATTACTGCCCTGTTTTCAGTGTGTTTGCAGACTGACTGCTTAATAACCTGCTCCGGATTTTTCCTGGGATTGATGTCAAACTGATTGGTCTGTATTTCCCAGGGTCCTTATATGTAGTTCACTGCCTTATATGGGTGCAGTTCATGGCTTCCCAAAACAATTACAATAATAACATCAAAGACTGCAGATCACCATAACAAATATAATAATGATGAAAAGGTTTAAATATTGTGCCATATGAAGAGAGCAAATGCTGTTGAAAAAATGGCACCAATAGACTTGCTTGACACAGGGTTGCCACAAACCTTTGATTTGTAAAAAATGCAGTATCTGCAAAGCACAACAAAGGAAAGCAGAATAAAACAAGGTATGTCTGTATACTTACAGAAGAAAAAGAAAGGTATTTCCATTGAGAAACAGTCTCTTAATATTTCAGGACTGTACTCTGAGAGTATGGGATATTGGAAATGCCAATGCTATCCCTATGGTGATTCAAACCATAAAAACAAGAGGCTCAAAGCTAGCTAAGGTCAGTATATTATTTACCTAATAGAACTGACAGATGTTCTTAACTGCTCTCCAAGAATATGTACCTCTGTTTGTATTCGGGGGTCGCCTGCCTTCACTTTACTTTTAACTGAGACCATAGAATGCTGTGGCTCTAAAGGCAAAGCACAAGAACCCATTGTGAGTTGTTACCCATGAAGTTATAACCCATGATGGGTTGTCATGTTGTATGAACCCAAACTGATCTGGACAGGATGGATGGCAACAAGTAACCCTGACAATCCATTGGTTTTAGTAGGGGTCATTGTATCCACGAGGGGTTGCTCTATTGTCCAAAGATGGGCAGTGATTCCTAGTACCCCACTCCTGGTACTGGACATCTCTTCCCAAGAGCAGCAAACACCCCTTGCCACTTTTGCCAAGTGGCTCCTGAGTGACCACCACTGCCCCCATCCCAAAAATGCCCAAGTGGCGCTTGTTGGCAGCTGACACGGCCTTTCCCCTGCTTTGCTATGATTGTGAGCTTTTTTCACTCCAAACATTGTTTTTCACTAGAAATTGTGGAAGTCAGTGGTCAAGCCAGCTTTCATGATTCTGACCCACCCACCCCCTGTTGGCAAAGGGACCCACTCCCATAAATTGGGAAGCTCACAGTTTTTAATGTTCTGAGGGTGGTACAATTTTAGGAACAAGTGCAAAATTAGGGGCACCCTTAGGCACGTTTCCCTAAAACACCCAAAGGGGGTTACCACAAAGGGGTTTCCATTCCCTTTTCCTGTGCTAGGATGACTACATGCAGGGGAATTTTTCAGAAATTGCAAATATTTGCAAAAACTAGAGGGGAGTAAAAATGCTTGGCACCAATGGGCAATTCCACCAAAGTGCCACCAGGCATAACCTGCAAATGCACCCGGAGATACCGAACTGTACCATTGCTCTTAGCACTTCCACAAGGAGATCTGTCTGCCTACATGTTGTTTGTTAGAATAAAAATGCCAGTTACGTTTGAGTCACTGATATGTGATTTCTTTAAAACTATCCAGTGTGAAGAATGTGAGAAGTCTTTCCTGATCTTTCAGAATGATGAAAATGAAGTGGAAAGCAAGTGCGTGTTTTGTCGACTCTCTACTCGCAGCACGACTATTTTACCAGTGCCCCCTCCTCTGCCTCCTGATCTTTAAAAACATTCCACAACGAACCAGTGTAAAAATGCTTTCGTATGTTATATTTTTTAAAACAAGTTTTTTTGTTTGTAGTTTTGTTTGATGTAATACGTAGAAAATATTTGTCTGCAAATAAAGAAGTTTTTTTAAAAGTTCAGGAAGAATTTGAAATTCTCACAACCACTTTCCACCCAACTGTGTGATAATGTTTTAAAAGTCTTTTTTTGCCAGAGTCTACAGAGGAGGAGGTGCCAGTTATGTCCCACTATTTGGCAAGCATAAAGTAAGAGTCAGCATTCAAAATGCAATATGAAATAGATTTATACAACTGGTAGTTCCCTGTGGCTCTAAATGTGGCAGCAGTGGGTCCAGCTGTAAGATGGAACAACACAGTATTTGAAAAACATTTATATCTGTACAGGCATATGCATACACGGGTTTGGCAAAGAGAGAACTGCCTGATTTAGGGAACACCGGAACACTTCTTTTGACAGTAAATGTAGAACCCTGTATTGCTGCAGAGGGGGTTTCGTCAATTCACTCATTTAATCTTGTGGGAAGACATCAAGAATTTTTTTTTTAATTTTCCCCCCTTTTAAATTTTTTTTGACAGAAAAAAACCATAAGTACAAAACTTCACAACAACAATAACACATAACCAGAACACATTAAGAAAAGAATAAATGATAGAGTGCACCCACCATCCCAGAGATCAATACTATCACCATTCACATACTAGAACAATTAATAATATATACTTCAATTATACCCATATCCCATCCAGAAATGCATATAATCTTGATTGAGTTTACAGCCTTCACCTTCTATCAGTACTGCTTTTACAAAATCTTCCCAAATTTCATTATATTTATTTGCTTACATTAACCCCATCAGGAAACATTATATGCTTCCCCACTGCTATGCAAATTATTTGCAGGATTCTTTTCCAGATATACGAAATGCAGTAAAATGTGAATAGCAGCTGAAGAACTAGATTGAGGTGTTTCCTAAAACCTGCATATGTAGCGGACCAACTTCGCACGAGCCAGAGATGATCGGCATGGATCGCTCCGAGGAGGAAGAAACGCTCACGCCGACCTTGTGCGCTTCGCCGGCTCCTCCTCCCCTTCCTGCCTCGCCTCCAATGCAGCACTTTCTCTTTCGAAAGTCGATCGCCGAGCAGACGGCTCCCTCAGCTACATGAAGCCGGCTCCGCCACTCACCCTAGCGGCTGGCGCCGTGGCTTAGTTGGTTAAAGCGCCTGTCTAGTAAACAGGAGATCCTGGGTTCGAATCCCAGCGGTGCCTGCAGGGTCGTGCCTGCATTTTGCTCGAACGGTTATTTTTTGACGCCCAGCGGCGCTCCTTTCTGGGCCGGAGAGGTAGCTGCTGAAGGGGAAACGTGCAGGGAGGCGCCCGCTGCTCCGTGATAAAGCTACCCCGTAAAGTTTCTTCTGCTGCGCGTTGATGTGCGCAGGTTTATAAGGGGCATGGCCAAGATTCTTTAGCCCTATCTGAGTACGTGGTGCGGATCCCGTAAGCAACGTTCTTGCCACGTATAAACACAGCAAGAACACAAGGCTATGCAAATCTGGGCAGAAAAACCTTCCTACGACTCTCATTACTCGCAAGTATGGCGGGCAGAGGAATGCCGGGAGGGTGGGGTTTTTTCCCCCCTCACTGCCGGTGTAGGCATAGGATTGCACCCTTAACTCTCCGAACTGCTTGCTATATACAAGCCTTAAAAATCGTGGGTTTGGGTTTGTGGCTCAACATCAACACCATGTTCTAATGTCACTTAGATTAGAACATAACAAGATCCGTCCACTCCAGTGGTCTGCTCACACAGTAGCCAACCAGCTGCTCATGGGAATCAATGAGCAGGTTATGAGTGAGACTGCACTCTCCTGCCCATGTTCCACAGCAAGTGGTGTACATAGGCAAACTGCCTCTGATACTGGAAGGAGTATATGGCCATCAGGACTAGTAGTCATTGATAACGCCCCTTCTCCATGACCTTGGCCAGTCCCCTTTTAAAGCCCTCCAATGGGTGGTCATCACCACACCTTGTGGGAGCGAATGCCATAGAGGGACTCTGTGCTGTGTCCAGAAGTCCTTCCTTTTCTCTGACCTGGATCCCCCACCAAGCAACTTCATGGGATGGGGGATCCAGAAGTATTAAGAGAAGGGGGGTCTTCTTAACCGCTTTCTCCACTCCATGCATAAACTGTGTATCTCCATCATGTCTCCCCTTACTTGCTTTTTCTCTGAACTAAAATATCCCAGCATTGTAACCTTTCCTCACAGGGTAGCTGCTTTTGTCCCCTGATCATTCTAGTTGCTCTTTTCTGTACTTTTTCCAAATCTACATTATCCATGTGGTGTGTGGTGACCAGAACTGTACACAGTATTCCAAATTTGAACACACCATAATTTGTATAAGGAGAGTATGGCTGTGACAGTTTTATTCTCGCTTCCTTTTCTAAGTTTGCCTGCTTTTTCACAGCAGCTACACACTGGATTGTCATCTTCATGGAACTGTCCACCACAGCCCCAGGATCCTGTTCATGGTCAATCACTACCACTAGCTGCAATCCTGTTGGAATACAGAGGAAGTCGGGATATTTTGCCACAGTGTGTATCACTTTGCACTCGCTTGCCTTGAACCACATTTGCCATTTTGATGCTGATTCTCTCAGTTTGGAGAGATCCCTATGGAGCTCCTCACAATCCTTCTTGGTTTGTTGTTGTTAGTCGTGAAGTCGTGTCCGACCCATTGCAACCCCACGGACAACATTCCTCCAGGCCTTCCTGTCCTCCATCATCCCCCGGAGTCCACTTAAGCTCAGGCCAACTGCTTCAGTGACTCCATCTAGCCACCTCATTCTCTGCCGTCCCCTTCTTCTTTTGTCATCTAATGTTCCCAGCATTAGGCTCTTCTCCAGGGAGTCCTTACTTCTCATTTGGTGGCCAAAGTATTTGAGTTTCATCTTCAGTATCTGGCCTTCTAAAGAGCAGTCAGGGTTGATCTCCTCTAGGACTGACTGGTTTGATCGCCTTGCAGTCCAAAGGACTTGCAGGAGTCTCCTCCAGCACCACAATTCAAAGGCCTCAATCCTTCGGCGCTCAGCCTTCCTTATGGTCCAACTTTCATAGCCATACATTGCAACTGGGAAAACCATAGCCTTGACTATATGCACTTTTGTTGGCAGGGTGATGTCTCTGCTTTTTAGTATGCTGTCTAGATTTGCCATAGCTTTCCTCCCCAGGAGCAAGCGTCTTTTAATTTCTTGGCTGCAGTCCCCATCTGCGGTGATCTTGGAGCCCAGGAAAATAAAATCTGTCACTACCTCCATTTCTTCCCCGTCTATTTGCCAGGAAGTGAGAGGACTGGATGCCATGATCTTAGTTTTCTTAATGTTGAGTTTCAAGCCAACTTTTGCACTCTCTTCCTTCACTCACATCAAGAGGCTTTTTAGTTCCTCTTCACTTTCTGCCATTAGAGTGGTATCATCTGCATATCTGAGGTTGTTGATATTTCTCCCAGCAATCTTAATTCCAACTGGTGATTCATCTAGATGGCATTTCTCATGATGTGCTCTGCATATAAGTTAAATAGGCAGGGCGACAGTATACAGCCTTGCCGAACTCCTTTCCCAATTTTGAACCAATCAGTGGTTCCGTGTCCAGTTCTCACTGTTGCTTCTTCACCTGCATATAGGTTTCTCAAGAGACAAATAAGATGGTCTGGTACTCCCATCTCTTTAAGAACTTGCCACAATTTGTTGTGAGCCATACAATCAAAGTCTTTAGCATAGTCAATGAAGCAGAAGTAGATGTTTTTCTGGAACTCCCTAGCTTTCTCCATGATGCAGCATATGTTGGCAATTTGATCTCTAGTTCCTCTCCCTCTCCGAAATCCTGCCTGTACCTCTGGTAGTTCTTGGTCCACATACTGCTGGAGCCTAGCTTGTAGGATTTTGAGCATCACTTTGCTAGCATGTGAAATGAGTGCAATGTGTGGTAGTTTGAACATTCTTTGGCATTGCCCTTCTTTGGGATCGGAATGTAAACTGACCTTTTCCAATCCTGTGGCCACTGATGAGTTTTCCAAATTTGCTGGCATATTGAGTGTAGCACTTTTACTGCATCGTCTTTTAGGATTTTGAATAGCTCAGCTGGAATACTGTCACCTCCACTAGCTTTGTTGTTGCTCAGACTTCCTACGGCACATTTGACTTCACATTCCAGGATGTCTGGCTCGAGGACAGTGACCACCCCATTGTGGTTATCAGGGACGTTAAGCTCTTTCTTGTATAGTTCTTCTGTGTAATCTTGCCACCTCTTCTTAAACTCTTCTGCCTCTGTTAGGTCCCTGCCATTTTGGTCCTTTATCATGCCCATCTTTGCATGAAACGCCCATTTTTGCATGAAACCTTCTTGGTTTAACCACCCTCAATAGTTTGGTGCCATCAGCAAATCTGGCCACTGCATTCCTTACTCCTAATTCCAGATGGTTTATGAATCAATTGGAAAGCATTGGTCCTAATACAGAACCCTGTGGGACTTCACTGTTAATATCCCTCTACTGGGAGAAGTTAGCATTTATTCCTACTCTCTGCTTCCAATTCTTTAACCAGTTACGGATCTGTAAGAACGCTTGTCTCAGTCCATTACTGTTAAGCTTGCTCAAGAGCCCTTGGTGATTTGTAGACATAAAGGTAGAATAATTAAAGAAAAACAAGAGTGAAAGAAAAAAATATGTTTACCTCTGCGTATATATGGCAGCCATGGTGCCTTCTTACACTTCTCCAAAAGAGAGGAAATGCACCCTCAAAAAGAGGACAGCCTCTGCATATGCTATTTTGTATGTATATTTGTACAGTTAGAAATAATTTCTACAGATTAATTTATATAAAAATACATAATGGGAAAATTGGCCAGGTGATCTGTGCATTTATTCAGTCTCTTCTTCAGGGAAAATGTAAGGCTCCTATTCTTCAATCTTATAGTTCAATATCTTTTAATCAGAATTTAGCACTGGACAGCATTTTAAAATACAGAACCGTCCTATGTAAAGTGGGCACCCAGCCACCTAGCTGTATTTTGCCAGCTTGTAGAACAGATCTGTTTTATACACCAAAGCGTATTTATCA